CCAAAGTTTCAAAAAAAAAAAAAATGCTCAAATTATTATTTTCTATTGCTTGCATTTATTGTTCATTTATCTCTTCATTGCACGTCATGTAGTTGGTAGTACATTGCATACTGTCGCGTAGTGGTCACCTTGTCACATCTAATTCTCGTAACCTGACCATGGACCCATCTCAACTTGATGTCATCACTCGTCAATTAGCACAACTTGCCACTAGCCAACAACAATTACAAACTAAGATAGCCGCTACTCGTGAAGCGAATAGAGATTTAGCCGCTAGGTTGTCCACTTTTAAGCAAATCCCTCGTTCGACTAATGTTGATAATTCTAAAGTGTCCTATAATAGACAGTATCGTTGTCGACAAGGTGATCAAAAGTATTTTTGACATGACAGTCGGGATGGGGATTTGGTTCTTAAGCAAGAACGAGGTTATAACCGTCACGATACTCTTTCTCTTCCACATCATAAGAAGCGTTTCTTTAAAACAATAGAGTAGATGCTCCTACTTTTGACGGTTGCTTAGATTTTGAGATTTGTACTCAATGGAATGCCCTTAAATAAGGGAATCGGTTAGTGACTGAATATATTGCTGAATTTGAGGAATTTCGAATGAAGTGTCATGTCATTGAGGATGAGGCCATGACTGTGAGTAGGTTTAGATAAAGTCTAAGAGATGATCTTAGGCGTGAGCTTTTCCTTCGGGGTGTCACTACTCTTGATCAGGCTTACTCTTTAGCCCGAAATTTTGAGTTGATTATTGATACTCCATATAAAATGCGTGGTGACAACTATACACCAATATCCTCAACGCCACTTCCTCTTAAGTCTATTAGGAGACATTCCCCGTCAAATGTTCCTCCTGTATTCAAAAATAAGGGTACAATTTCTGAAATTTCAAGGACTTCTTATAACTTACAGTGCTTCAACTGTAAAGACTTTGGCCCCATCTCTTCCAAATGTCCTAGCTGAACCTTAGTCATTGAAGAACAAAAGAATATAATAGATGAAAGGTTAGATAATCAAGTCTTTTACCTAAACTTGAAGAATCCGATGACTTTGATGATAGTGAGAACACCTCCTTAGGTAGTAATCAGACTTTTCCTATGAATCTAGGTATTGTACCCCTTGTTCCCGATACCTCTCAGTCAAGTGTTGTATGTCATACCCTTATCCAACTCAGACGTGCTGTTGATTTGCGTAATCTTGCCATTTTCAAGGACAATATTGAGAATTGGGATTTGATCGTCCCGACAGTTCAAAGTACATATAAAAATTTTGTAAATTGGTCTATAAGTATGAATCCTTTTGAAGTTATTCTTAATTACGAGTCTGTGAAGCCTTTAAACATTATTCTCATGTCCCCACATGATACGGTGTCTATGTCAGCTAAAGCATTTGCACAACATTTTCGTAACTTGTATATTGAGATCAATAAATGATTTGAGGCGAGTAATGCACCACTTAAATTTCAAGTTGATTTGCATAAACAACATTTTTAACTTAATATTGGAGATTATGTTATGTTGCAAGCTCGTAGTGTTGGTTCTTTTAAAATTGTAAAGCATGTTGGTCCAAATGCACCTGTCATTGATTTTTAATCACATTTTGGCTACCACTCTACTTTAAATATTGAGGACTTCATTACTTACAAACACCGTTTCAATTCCTTTGATGATCATTTTCTATTAAACTTTGTTGACTCCCAATCTGTTCATCTTAATATTTTTACTTTAATACCATCTGTTACAGTACACAAAGATACAATTGATGTTATTTTAGACGAACGGATGGTGTTGACAAATGATGGAGAAATTTGGTGCTTCCTTGCTCGTTAGATAGTTCCACCCGATGCAGATCATATTCTTGGGGACAATTTACAACTGGCGTTGGCATCATTTGCTGAGTTTCGATATTTGGTTTTTACGAAAGATCGTCCCCCATGGTCGACGTTTATCCACTCGACAAAGTCGATTTTCTCCCACCCCGGGAGAGTTGATGCAGACATCATTGGACTCATCAGGATCTATTTTTGTCGTTATTGGACTTTATTCATTTTATCATTATTGGACCTTATCATTTATGTTTTCTATTTATTATTGTTATTGGACTTGTAGTAGTGGGTTGACCCTAGTCCTTTAGGTTATCGCTATTTATTGATTTTTTTTCATTGTTATTTGGACAATTGATGAATATGATGAATTAAAGAGTGGCTTGCAGCCCGTTTTCTCCCCTCTTCCTCCTCTTCCTCCTCCTCATCCCCTCTTCTTCTTTCTTCTTCTTTCTTCTTCTTCTTGATTTCCTTCTAACTTCTTGGCTTTAATTCTAATTCATTCTAAATTCTAATTCATCATGCATCAGATGCAGTTGATGATGATGATATCTCATATTTCTTGCCCTTGGACCTTTCAAAAGTACTCCGAATTTGGACTCACAATGAAAGGCCCAAAATCCAATTGGAAAAATTGTTAGGGAAAAATGGCAAGATCCATTATTTATTAGAGCAACTTTGTGAGTGACTCATGCTCTAGGGAAAAGTAGCAGTTGGTAGCAATAATAAACAAACAGAATCCAATAATGTAGTTATTATATTGATATATAACAATATACTGTGTACACATGAGAATAATTATGCATTACGTCTATTTACATATCTATCTATCTATCTATCTATCTATCTATCTTTAATGTTTAATGTGCAAGGATAAAAAGAATCGCAACAAGCAATGTGCAACAACATAGAAATAATACTCGAGGGAACAAACAGCTTTCACTTCACACCTGCCATACCGATATGCAGGGGCGGATCCAGGCATGGGCTAGCCCGGACTACAGCCCGTGCTTGCCCAAGCCCAGATCCAGTACTCCCCCTTTTTTTTATTTATTTATTTTTTGGTTTAGCCCACTAATTTTTATGCCCAGCCCGTGTCCATAAAAAAAATGGCAGAATAGTCCATTGGTTTTTGGCCCAAACAAAATGAAA